AATAATAACTGGGTGAAGTTTTAAGCTGTGCTCATTAGCAAGTCAGATAAGATGATCAAAGCAGTAATTTTCAGTTTTAAGAAGGCCACTGATCAGAAATGTCTTATTTAAGTCTCCCAAGACCTGAAAACTACTGCCTGGACACACTGAACAGACAAACCAGCCCCTTTTCTTTTGTGAAGGGCTTATAGCTCCTACCTACTCCTTCGAAAAGCAGCCCCTACCTAAGCTAAATCTTCAAGCAAGCCCTTATGGAGCTGTATCCAGGTGGAAAATATCTTTCAACCCAAAAGAACACCTTCATTATAAATCTCTTCTTTCACATGCCTGAAACATGAATATCTACCACTCTTAATAATCCAACTCTTTTCTCCTTTAACAGCTGTGGTACTGTTACCATTCAGCACCCTCTTACCTCCAAATTCCAGCTGGACACATCCAGCTTCCATGACTCATTGCAGCAACATAGTTTTCAATCTTCCATCTGTTTGTGTAGGGTTGTATAAGAATTCTAGTTTTCTATTCAATTTCACATTTTGGTTCTCTGTACTTGCTACTAGAATTCTTGCTTTTAAAAATACATTACACTTACCTGTGTCCATAACACTTTCAGACGAGATAGTCAATGAAAAGGCAAGCATTTTCAGGATCCACTTTCTTTTAGCATCTAAGGACATATCTGTAACCTCATCTTGTAATAGCTTAATTTTTCAAAATTAAAACTAAGCTGAAAAATTGCTCTCACCAGGAGAAAAAAATCCTTTCAGTGAAGTGAAGCTCTCTCCAATCTTGTCAAAGTCAGGCAGGAGTTTGGCAAGGTCATCTGCATCAGGAAGGGCTTTGATAAGTTTTTCTAGAAAAACAGTAAAACAGCTAATGAGTAGGGTTTTTTCCTATTACTTTTATGAAAAAAAAAGAAAACCAAACATGCTTAGGCTGTAAAACTTAGCAACTGCTTCAGGATGTGGCTTTTTTTCTCCTTTTTTTTTTTTAAATAAAGAACTCAAAAGTTTCTTTCCACATGCACCTCCCCCAGTTAGTGTTGGGAAAGATTATGAGATCTGAAAAATCAATTGCTTTTTTAGACTTTGAACTTCCTGATAACCTGGTTGCCTCAGATACTTAAAATAGCCTAAAACGCACTGCTGTGTTTCACCACATTATGCTCTCATGTACCTCGTAGAGGATGATTTAAAATTACATGACACTAGAACTACGTTCACCTCTTGTACATTTTAAGAAAACCTTATTTTTCAGTTCCATAAATAAGCCAATTTTGTAATCCTTTAAAACCCCAAACTTGTTGGTTTTAAAACCCTATGTAAAGGTAGTGTCCATGAGCAATAAAAACAAGAAAACATTTGCCTCAGTTATTCAGGCTCTGCGTTTACCTAAGAAATGCTAGTACATGTAGTAAAATCTTCATGATTTTTTTTTTTAAAAAGAATATCACCTTACTATCCTGCATATATATGAAGGAACTCAGTGTCTGTTTTTCAGATTTCTATCTTTCAACTGAAATATGCAAAAAACCTACTGCAACCAGAAGGTTCAGGAAAACAGAGTCTATATTTTTCATTTTCACTCAAATTACACCTATAATGACTACTGGAGAGAGGCATCAAGGACCTATGCCCTTATGTTTAAATTTACATGTCTTAGTCTTTAGATAGAGTAACATTTTAGCTTTTGTGATACCAAAGTCAATATGTTCATCAAGTTCCCAAATGAAGTCAGGAACAATCCACTTGTATTCATCGAGGTCTGGCATCATGTCCTTCCACTGATCATATGTCTAACACAAAAAAGAAAAAAACATTAGTAGAAATAGAAGAGATGTATGTAGAGAAGCACATGAGCAATCTATTGAAAAGTAATACCTACATATAAAACATGCTAACCCACCATCTTTTAGAGAGAATAATACTACTTGGAACTTTTAAAATCTATACTAGTTAAAAGAAAAAAACATTAGTAGAAATAGAAGAAATGTATGTAGAGAAGCACGTGAGCAATCTGTTGAAAAGTAATACCTAGATATAAAACATGCTAACCCACCATCTTTTAGAGAGAATAATACTACTTGGAACTTTTAAAATCTATACTAGTTCTCTAAACAATCTGTTTTCTATATTCCTTTGTGTTTATTATCATTAGCTAGCCAAACAATGATAACTTGTTTCTCTAAACAATCTGTTTTCTATATTCCTTCGTCTTTATTATCATTAGCTAGCCAAACAATGGTATCTTGTGTTTTTGTGGATATACCAAGAACTGTTGTTCTAAAGAACATAATAACAAAGACAAAACGCATAAAATAGCTTCAAAAGATAAATACCTTCTTTACTGTATAACCACCACCTACAGCAGATCCTAATACAAGGTAGCGAAGTTTGAGAAGCCTCGATGCTAGTCTAGCTAGCCAAAAGTTCCTGTGGGACTGGTATCCATATTTTACATTTAAAAGTTTTGTTTTGCGTAGGGGAAGACGATTAAGAGAAGAGAACAGCTGAGCAGATATCCTCAGTGGAGGTCTTTGAAATTTTGAACTTGGATAGTGGGGATGATGTATACTTCGGGAAACAAGATGTAAGTTTTGAAGTGGTGATTTTCTTTTTATTCCATAGCTGCTATTTGCTAGACTCCGGCAGATGACACTAAAAGAAAGAAATAAAAACTCTAAGTAACAGATTTCCTCAACATACCATTAATTCAATAACCTCTTCAGAAGCAATTCACATTGCATTTTAGCTGGGTACAGATAAATTAGAGCACCATTCTGAACGTACAGTTTCCAGCTATCATTAGTACAGTAACAGGAAAATAAAAAGCTGTAAAAATCATTAATAGATACTGCATTTCTAATAACTACAGAAATAAAACCTTAAATACCATTTATGAAGTCTGTTATGAACTAAATTTAACTTCCACCCTGGATTAAGGCAAGTAACATGTCTGTGGTAAAACAGTTTGGGCAAACAGCAGCTAAGAGTCCATAGAGGACTATGATCAATTTATGACATAAAAGAAAACTTGACAGTTTGGCCTATCTTGTTATTCAAAATGAACTTTTAGATAACAGATGATTTTCAAACTTCAAAAAAAGCAATACACAGACAAAATTCCTTTGCAAAATACAATTGCCCTGTTTTGGCAAAGCAGATTCTCCTTTGCAGTTGAAGCATTTACTTAATGACATCGTCCAGTGACTTCCACTCTAATATTCTCCAGTTCCAGAATTACAGGATTATTGCTTTGTCTTAGGTCATGCATAGACAACATTACTTCTGGAGATGGCTATACCATGTTTGTTGAAGACTTCAATAAAGTAATTCAGGTTTATGCAAGAGGGAAAATTTCAGTCTGAAAGATTTCACTCTGAAAACAGAGCCCAGCCACGAAAAGCACACATTAAAACACAGGGACCTTATCAATCCTGCCTATGTTCAAACAAACGCATAGGTTGGAATAAAGCGCCTTGTATACTTTCTACTACACCACCTGCATGCTTCAACATTTTGAGGTGGCTTTGCTAGTTTCGGGGAGCGACAACGGCTCTGGAAAAAGCAATTTCTTTTGTAACTTTTTAGTTTCACCATCATATCAGAATGGTTAATATGAAATCATTTACTGGATAAAAACATGAGTGAAGTTACAGTTCTTGAAATTAATGCTTGTCCCTTGATGCTTCTTTCAGGCTTTTCAATATTATCAAATGCCTTTACTTACAAAGGGAACAAATACAAAAGAAGAAAGTGCTTCGCCATTTAGAAGGCAAATTATTCCTAAATAAGGCCGTATTCCTAAATAATTTAAAATTAGCAGATCTTAAAGAGAGTAAGTGAATTATATGAAATGGAAAGTATTACAGCATCTTCTAATAACATACTCTATAATCTATGTAATTCTTTGCCTTGAGATCTTCCATGTACTAGAGATGACATTGTCTATTACAGGCATATTCCTAATGCCCAAAGAAGTGGAAGTCTTTGTTATAAAAGAACTTTTGACCCAGAAATTGAGCTTTTGGAAGATAAGCTGAAAATCAGAATTACGTGAATCAAGACATTTTCCTCTCTTAAAAGGCCAATTCTCACAGTGATCTATGTTTAGAAATTTCCTTTACCGTAATGGAAAGCTTAAAAAAAAAAAGGGAACTCCACTGACCCTTATGAAAGTCCTCGTTCATAAAAGTGACTAAGATTTTGAAGGATACTCTCCTTCTACACTGCACTATCTGGAAGGCTGCGCCTTTGCAATAACAAACTCAGTATCTAGAAAGAGGATAATAAACAGGAGCAGAATAATCCCTAAAGTAGCAACAAGTTTCTCGTCTTTGACATGGAATTACAACAGGCTCAGAAATTAATCACAGATAGAACCAATACAAAAGTGGCTACATAACGATAAAAAGTAAAAGTGCCTCCACACCAGAAACATTTTGTTTCCCGCTTTTGAAGACAGTATTTTAAACCAGGGTGTGGTAAGCCTGTAAGAAGCAAGCTGATGACTGGGCCGTTATTTCTTTTGTTTTGCAGTCACTGGCATTACACAGATATTTAGCGTTTTCAGCAGACACCAAGTGGTAGTATATACTATGGCAGTCACTTCTCATTGTTAGTCTTCACCTAGATCAAAGGCATTTTGTAATATTATGTCATTTTCTTCTCTGTGAAGAGAAGAAATTTTTAAAATACATTGTGTTTTACAGCATGTGCTCTGTATGCTTAAACTCAAGGAACACGTAAGTTTCATCATGTGTTCTGTATGCTTAAACTCAAGGAACACGTAAGTTTCATCACCAATTGTTACAGCAAGAACTTGATCAACAATTGCCTTTTGAGTGCTATCACACATTTCAAAACCCACCTGCTTTAATTGCACCTATAAAGTCTTACAATACATTAAAAAAACCCTACTACTCCATCATTATACCAAAACTTCCATTTTCTCATTTCTTCTCTTCTCCTACTGCTAAAAGCTCACGATGAATAGTGACAAAAAAGTCGCGTTAAGATCGTCAATGAAAAGCGCAGTTAGACTGAAAAAGGTGCCAAAACCCATGTTATTACTTTAACTATTTAACAAATTCCAATTTAAAGCCTCTGGAAAGCCTTCCAGACACGAATAGCTCTGCCATTAGAGTCTGCCTTATTACAGGTCTGCAAACCTGACTACTCCTGAATTGCACTGACATTACAGACACCTTATAAAACACGAAAAAGTGGCCTGTTCCTGTTGGTAGCCAAGCCTTCCACCTGGAGGTCACACCTAACATTTCACACATATTGCTCCAGTTTAAAAGTTAAAAAAATCCTCACCAGGGACAAGTCTTCTATAAACAGGTTACATAGACTTTTAGTAACTATGACTGCAAAGCAGTCTTTCAAATCTAACCCAACAAAAAGCATTATGGTATTTTCCTTTTCATTTGGCACTAGAAAACACTTATTTTCCTAATGATGCTCCCAAATCTGCCAAGGAACATAGCGAGATTACGAACCATTCAGTTTCACTGCTCCTGTCTGGAATTGTGTGGAAGAAGGGTGAAAACCAAGAGGAACGTAGGGTTTGGCTGGGACAGTCATGCTCTGGACACGAAGGAGGCCCAAACTCCCTGGGCAGGAACGCGGGAACCGCAGCTCCCTTCCACAGCGCACCTCAGGTCCCGGGGAAGCTGAAGGATGGGGAATTTCCCTGCCCGGGAGCAGCAGCTCCACCCCGGCAGGCCTGGGGGTCGCCCCTGCGTCATTCACACACACACTGCGTCCCTCACCGCCCACCCCGCCCCGCCGCGGGGCTCCGGCCTCCCCCGCCGGCAGCCCCCTTCCCCCGGGCGCCCTGGGCCCGCTCAGCCGGGGCGAGTGTTACAACGGACACCGCTCCCGAGGCGTGAAGAGAAGGAAGGAGGAGGAAGGAGGAGGGAGGAGGAGGGAGAAGGAGGGTCGCGGCTCCGGAGGCCGCTCGCCCCGCACAGCCACCGCGCCCC